ACGGACGGACGGTTGGTTGGTTTTATGTATTTGGAGAAGGTGAAAACGTGCAGAACAACCTTTTACTCCTCGCAGGATCTATACTCGTGTCGTTAAGAGTTTCTCCGTAAAGCTGCTGAACGTCAGATGTCATTGTGATGTTTATGCGCTTCAGAGGCCCGGTTTCTCTTCCCCGTCGACGTCCAGCTTTGTGGCTCGACGGCATCCATTCCATCGGGATGTTTTCTCTGCATCCCGTTTGGAGACGGCGAGGTTTACGACGGGAATCACAATCCGTGAATGTATGAAGTGAGGATTCATTTCCCCTCTGTTCAAACTGTCCTCCTGTCTTTTCTTTAATACTTGAACTAGGAGTTATCCTTTCCAAATAAAACCTGGGAACCTTTGCCATATCTAGAGTTAGTTACATTTACTTGAGTCAATTAGATGGAGCAAAAAAAAATCTACCTCACGAAATATTAGTAAGAACGTGTCACTTTTACCCGAGTCATATTATAACAAAGTATTGCTAATTTAAGTTCAGTAAGAGTTATGAATGTTTTACCTCCTGAGTGATAAATCACACAGGAGTGAATTAGAAATTCACCAGACAGACACGCAGCAGGAGGTTTTCTTAAAACTTTATATGTTTTCGTGTTCTGGAAAGAAACTGATGAATAAAAACACAACAACTATGTAGCCTGATTAGAATTGTTGTTATCGAAATTAAATATCAAAATCAGCAATCAAGCTCATGTCATTCAGTAAATCAGTAGACATATGTATTGCTATTGTAGTCATGTTCAGGGATTGTACTACATTGTATATTGTACTACATTGTATATAGTACTTTGATTGGAGAACTGTACACGTGTCGCCGCTGCGTAGCTGCTCCGTATTTGCGTGATGACGTATCTCGCGCAAGGAGCGCGTGCGCGCGATACTTCTCCGTCTCTTGTGGAAAACATCCAAGATGGCGCCGCGGCCGAAATTCGAAGAACAAGAGGAAGGAAGTGAAACGTCGTGAAACGTTTTCCTTTCACAGCCTGCGACCGATGTAAAGCGTTTCACATGTCGCTGTTGAGCGGTGACTTTCGGGGGGAGGAACTAAAACGTCCCAGGTAACGCTGACCCGGTTTTTGACATCCACGCAGCGGTGGATATCAATTAATCCGATAAATGAGAACGTATTTCCAACGAGGCTTCCGTATCATGTAGAAAACACAAGAAATGCACCTGGGCAGTGTTAGTGTAACGGTTATTCACTATAGATGAAATTCTTGCTAAAATATGTTTAGTAATTACCAGGCGATGGGTGGTTTTTTGGCGCCCCCTATGGATAGGAGGGGAAACAGTAAATTCCACACAGTCTGTTCAGCGCTCAACTGCGGTAAGTCACCAAATCCAGTTGTTTTGGGTGTGCTCAAAATTACAGTACGCAGAGAACTAGTGGACCAGTAGGTCCGCGTTCTCACTAGAACCAGGAAGATGGAGCACGTAACACCAGTCTTAAAGTCTCTACACCGGCTCCCTTTAGCTCCAAGAATAGTTTTTAAAATAGTGTTGTTGGGTTACAAATCACTGAACGGTTTAAGCACCACGATACATCAAAGATCCGCTGTTGTTGTATCAACCGTCCAGACCTCTCAGGTTCTGGTTCTGATATACTCTGCATCCCCAGAACCAGAACCACGAAGCAGCTTTCAGCCTCTATGCACCAAAAATTTTGAGCAAACTTCCAGAGAACTGTAAAACAGCAGAAACCCTGACTTCCTTTAAATCTCAACTAAAAACACACCTGTTTAGAATTGTATTTGAAACGTAATACGTAACAATGTATTGTTTATTCCATGATGCATGACTTTGTGTTTTTGTGTTTATGATGTAAAGCACTTTGAAATGCTTTGCTGCTGAAATGTGCTACACAAGTAAAATTTGATTAGATTTTGATTTAGGGAAGCTCACTGTGTTGATTTATATGATTGACTCTTTACAGGTAAACATGAATTATTTATCAGTAATTGATGTTGTCGGTTATGTTTGTCTGATTTTTGTTCCAGTTAAGTTTATCGGTTTCTCTCGTGCGTGTCGGTTTGCTGTGATTGCCAGTATGTCAGAAAAACCAGAGGTCGCTGTCGACGGGAGAAGACGGCGGTAGCGTAAGACGTCCCGTGCCGTGCTGTCAGTGCTTTCCTGAGGATTGATACTTTCTCCAAAGCTTCGGGTCTATCTCTTAACCTTAAAAAATGTGAGATAATGGCCATTAAGGACCATGACCAAGGCCATTTCCTCAATTGAAGTTAAGAATGAGGTTGTTTCTTCAGGTATAAACATCAAGAAGAATAGAATAGAATAGAATAGCATTTATTGTCATAGAACAGGATTCAATGAAATTTCTATTGCAACTCCCGTGCAAAAAGTCAAAATATACAATATTAAATAAACAAACACACAATAATAATAATAATAATATATCCAACTAAAATTAACTAAAGGCACTCAACCACACAAGAAGAAGCAGCAGGTCCAATTATGGTAAAGTGCAGATGATGTGACAGTGCAAGTGCAGTACAATATGGCTGTGTGGGGGTGGGGGGGGGGTGTATGTGAGGTTATGATATGTGTGGGAGGGGGCAGCAGGGGCGGCAGGGAGTAATGGCTCTGACGGCTGTGGGGAAGAAACTGTTTCTCAGTCTGTTTGTTGTAGTCCGTATATTCCTGTACCGCTTGCCTGATGGCAGCGGCACAAACAGACTGTGGCCCGGGTGGCTGGAATCCATGGCTATGGATCCAGCTCTCTTCTTGACCCCGCCCATGTAAATAGAGTCCAGGTCCGGGAGGGGGCATCCCACAATGCCTTGTGCTGTTCTCACCACCCGTGTCAGTTGTTTCCTCTCCAGTGCTGTGCAGAGGCAGAGGACGCTCTCGATCGTCGCCCTGTAAAAGTTCACGAGCAGCCGTGAGGAAAGTGCAGCCCGTCTCAGTTTCCTGAGGAAGAAGAGCCTTTGTTGTGCTTTCTTCACCAGGTGGGAGGTGTTTGTATTCCAGGAGAGGTCAGATGTGATGTGGAGGCCCAGGAACTTGATGCTGTCCACAAGTTCCTGGGCCTCCACAGAAATAGAAACAGAAAGAAGCTCTCTAAACTTTAACCCGCTAATTCAGAAGTCTAAAAAAAGACTCAATGAGTGGTTAGTTGGAGATGTCTCTTTGCGCGGCCGTATTCCGCTTACAAAGGCCGAAGGACTTTCCAGACTCATTGATGCTGCACAATCGTTAGACCTTGACAATAAAAGTGAGAAGGAAATTGATAAACTGCTATTGAACTTTATATGGAAAAATAAGACTCACTCCATTAAGAAATGTACTCTATTGAATTCATCTGAAAATGGAGGACTTAAGTGTTTGTCTTTCTCTATCTTGAATAAGACTTTGAAAATAAATTGGATCCGTCATTTTTTTTAATTCTCCAACGTCATTCTGGAATATTCTAGCTTTCCATATTTTCTCTAAATGAGGTGTTCTGAATTTGTTTTTAATTTGTAATTTTCATCTAACGAAGCAACCAATTAAACTCTCTAACTTTCATCGGCAGGCCCTACAAACATAACTTGTCTCCTCATAATAAGGACATCTTGTATAAGAAGAAAACAATGTTTTTGGACTCCTGGTTTAATTGTAACATTGTTCCGGTTGACCAGTTGTTTAACAGTGATGGTCTATTGTAGACTTTTGCAGAATTTCTTTGTAAATTCAATTTTCTTGTCTCTCCTGGAGAATACGTGAAAGTTTTTGGTGCCATTTCTAAGTCGATCAGATCCCTGTTTCTGAAGGACGTGATTCTGTGGTTGTCCATTATTGGAATGGCTTTTGTATTACTCTGTTTTGGAAATTTATCTGGCTGCAAGGTGAAAGAAAGATTCTCCCCCTGGTCAAGTATTATTCTATTCTATTCTTGTTTATTGGAATAAATAAAGTAAAAAAAAGAAAACCAAAAAACCAGAGGTTGCCGTTAAGTAGTTTAGTAGTTCATTTTTCCTGTCGCCTCTGTTTATTTTCCTGATTTGTTTGATTATAAAAGAGAGACCAAGTTGTACGAAATTAATTTTAAAGACATATTATAAATCAAACATCACTATCGGTAAGGCCGATTGTACTAATTATTTGTGAGACACAGCGCTCTGCTGTGTATGCAGAGAACTAGTGGACCAGTGGGGAAGCTCACTCTGCTGATTTATATTTACCAGTCATTACAGAAAATTCAGCCAACCTTTCCACGCATGAAGGGACGTGAAGGGTGGAAGCTCTTACATTAGCACGTCATGCTAAAGTGTGTTTCCGACAGCGGGGTTGTTATTTAGAAGCCGATCGGAATGATCTTTCAATCTAAAACAACACGGGGGACATTTAGAACGTAAGAGTTTTTTTCCCGACTCGATGAGATTTAAATAGCGATCGTTGACGGGTCTGGAGGGCGGCCAGGTGGGCCCGGTGGGAATCCAGCGCAGAGATGAAGACCCTGGTGCTAATGTGCTTTGTAGAAGATGCAAAGTGCTGTTTATGAACTCACAAAACAATATCCTGAGAGCTTGTGCTGCAGAACTTGACAGCAAGGCCAACGTGAACCTTTCCTGTTTCTTTCAACCTGCACACTCATGTTTCTCCCCAGTCGAGTCAGGGTCGAGCCTCCTTTTTGCAACGAGGCTCTTACGGGAATCTTCTTTTGTATCTATGTCATTTTTACAGAGGAGCAGCGACGGCAACTGTTCCTCAAGATTCTTTATGAATTTCTAGCGACCTTTCATAAAAATGTCACATTTGTACGACCTCTGCGTCGGTGAATGTTTGGTTTTGGTTTTTTCCTTCAAATGTACATGGAAAAGCAGCATAAAGACTTTTCTCTCTTCTCGCTTAAATAATACTCGGTTTCACCAAATCAAACCGACGGATGGAGAGGCGGTCCATTTAGCTTAGCTTTATAAACCCCAGGTCTCGTTTAACCCTCATTTCCAAACGTTTCTCAGGTGACTTGAGCGGAGCGAGCTTCAGAGAGCAAAGCACCGCGGGAAACGTCCTCCTCCCGATGGACCGAGCGAAGGGGTCGTGACCTTTGACACAGTCGGCCTCAAAGACATCAGCGCAACAACGAAAGCCAACGAAAAGATTTTTCTTTTTCACCAGAAACTTTGTCATCGATCTTTGTGAAAGTCAGAAACAGGGTAGAAAAAGTTTTCACGACGGCAACATTTCACATCAGTCGATATTCAACGGTCGACGTTTGATTCGCACAAATTTGTTCCAGTTCATTTTTGCATCAAGCCTCCAGTCCCCGTTTGATTTTCTAAAGGCTTTTCTTTCAGTCAGGGATCGTGGGAAGAACCGGAGCCGGGAAAAGCTCTCTCCTCCGTTCCGCCTGGCAGAACCTCACAGACGGCGTTTCGACCTCTGACCTCGCCCCCCCCCCCCCCCCCCCGCCAGAAGACGTCCGTCTTTCCTCAGGTGAGCGGATAACCTCACAAACATCCGGTAGCGTAGGAAAGAAAAGAGTTTGAGCGGGACTTTGGACCCGGTTCTTCAGGACACCGGTTCACGACCCTTGCGTTAAGCCGGTCAAAGCTTGTTTTTGTCACTGCTGCTTTGGGTAATTTTCAAATGTGACTTGTTGAAATCAGTTTATTTATGGACATTTGTCACATTCCTGAGAGGATTTACACACAAAGTAAATGGCCAAAAACCGAAAACTCACAGATACATTTACAGCGACAAGCAATACTGTGGAAATGTTCCTCAGCAATTCTCTCCAAATATCTGTATTTTCAAGCCTTCAATCAATGAATCCAATTTTATTTGTATAGCACATTTCAGCAACAAGGCATGTCAAAGTGCTTTACATCATAAACACAAAGTCATGCAACATAGAACGTTTCAAATCCAATTCTAAACAGGTGCGTTTTTAGTCGAGCTTGAAAGGAAGTCAGGGTTTCCGCTGTTTTCCGGTTTTCGGAAAGCGCGTTCCCAAAATGCGATTGCGGTTCCGGGTACGCAGAGCAGAACCAGAAGAGCCGAGAGGTCGGGAAGGTCCATACAACAACAGCGGATCTTTAATGTTTGGTGGCGCTAAACCGTTTGGAGCTGCGCAAAATACTTGACGTTTCTTTGCTTGTTTGATGTCAAGTTGGATGATTTTATGACTTTGTTTTTCTTATTTTAATAAGTTTCAACGGTCTTGTTGTTGAGATGTGTTTTTACAAATGACTTGTATTTGTAGTTGAAGGCTCCGGACGGTGGCAGCATCCAGGAATCAGACCGACCCTTTGCTCCGCCACAGAACCAAGACGGCGCCCTCCGCAAGCCGGGCCGAGCCGGGTCGAGCCCACGCAGCCGCTCTGCCGCACTCAGCCAGAGAGGTGAGCCAGACAGGACAGACACGAATGTAATATTTATCTACGGAAAGCAGAAACGTTTGCCATTTTCGAGAGCTATACGTGGCGACGCACCCACCCGAGGCGCAGCGCGGGCCGGCCGCTGGGATTTGTTTCAAAGCACAGCCATAAATCATAAGTCAGCATCAGTGCAGCTTATGTAAACACAGTAGCAGCTGCAGCAGTGATAATAAAGTCAGTGTAATCAAACATTGTCAGGTCACGTAGATAAACGGCGGCAAACATTGGAAACGGTGCAGGGAGTACGACGAGTAAATGCCGAACACCGAAGCAGGTGGTCGCACAGAGCAGCAAATGGAAGCGAGGAAGGTTTTATCAACACCACATTAAGTAGGAATCTTTGTTTGGGCAGTTTGTGTCGGCGCTCAACTTTCCCAGCGAAAGAAAATGAAAAAACGGAATAAGACGCCAGACGTACGTAATGACGTACGCAGCCGTAGCGGCACGCAGTCAAACTTTCAGCAATTATCTGTTTTTCAAGACCATGCGACGTCTCTCTCTTCCGACAGCAGCAAAGATTGGCAGACATCCGAAAAACGAGAACCAAACGGTTCAACATTCCTTTTCTCCTAAGGCTAGTTATGCAAGCGATGTCAGAGTTATGACCGTAATCGTGCATTACGTATTGGGAAAAGGTGACGAGTCGTCAAGAACGATACACGTTATGCGGGAATGTGTGTTTTTCAGATGTTTAGCCGAGCGCTTTACTCCACACGGTCTTGAAACTGTAGGTGACTCTATGACTCTCCCAAGGTATTTAAACTGAGTCACCTGCTCCACCTCCTGAGCCTTCATGCCGATTGGCCTGAAGGTGTGCCCCTGGTCTTTATTGCCTCCCTTCTTGCTGCTTCCTAGCCACATCTCGTTGGTTTTGGAGACACGAAGGTCCAGGAAGCTGCTGTCAAACCATGCAGATAAATATACTGCTTCCCATAGGCAGGCAATTAGAGGCATATCATCTGTGTACTTGATGAGGGAGAGGTCATCAGTTTGACACTGTAGCTCAGTGGTGTATATGGAGAAGAGCCAAGGTGGTAACACACATCCTTGGGGAAATCCTGTGTTGAGGACCAGAGAGTCAGAGAGGCAGTTGTTAATCCAAAATCCCCGATGAGGAGAACCAGACCAGAACTGACTTCCAGGTCACAGAGGCGTTGTAGAAGGAGGTGTGGCTGCACCGTGTTAAAGGCAGAAGAGAAGTCCATGAATAGAACACGGGCACGGGCACGCAAGTTATTTAGAAGAGTGAGCGTGGCGTCCTCCACCCCCCTGTCGGTTCTCTAAGAAAATTGCATGGGATCTAATTGAGCTGGTACCTGGCGGGTCAGGTGATTAGGAATTAGACACTCCATGCATTTGCTAAGGATGGATGTAAGGGCAATAGGTCTGAAATCACTGTTAGTTTTGGCACAGGGATAATGGTAGCTGTCTTCCAGGCTTTAGGAACAGCATCTTAAATATCTTTGTAATAGTAGGACCTAGGTGGGTAGCGCATTCCTTTAAAACCCTCCCCCGAAGTCCGTCCGGGCCAGGTGCTTTATGAGGGTTGAGACTGTGGAATACGGAGGTCACTGTATGCTCCTGAATAATCGTAGGATCAGATGTGAAGCCAGCCCACACTCGTTTTGAAAGTCACGAACGTCAAAGCCGGAATCAAACGTCTTTAGGTTCTTGGAAAACCGGAGGGGGTCTTTATGGCACTGCAAAATTTGTCTTTGCTCCCTGTCCATGATTTTCTTCAACCCTCTCCATGCATCTCTCACATTACCAGTCCTTAATTTCCTGTCAAATCAGTTGGGCCTTTTTCATTAGACGGTTTGTTTGTTATTTCTAGGTTTCCCTCTATGAAGGCTTTTTTCCTCAGATTCAGTTGATGTTTCAGTTCTTTGCTCACCCAAGATTTTGATTTCTTTTGTTCCAATTACTGAGTCCACACCAAAATGAATGTAGCCGGATCTAGTGTCAAAGAACAAGTCAGTTTTGCCCCTCCAAACACGACAAAACAATTCCCATTCTCTAACTTTAAAACTCCCTCTCAGCATGTCCACCGAGCCGTCTGTCCAGGCCCGGCAATGAATCGTAGCAGGTTTGGTCCTTTTCAATAATTGACGGTACTTTGGAAGAAGGCGAATGACGTTATCATCTTACAGACCCAGAGGGGGGCGGGCCCGGGAAGCATAGGCACCTTCCACAAGAATTTTCTTCTGTGTCGTCGCGCATGTAATATACCGCTCCGAATTTGGCAGATGTGGAGAGACGTCACATTTATGGAAATCCCCCAAGAGAGAAACAGGGTCATCCCCTGAATGGTCTGGGCCAGGAACACATACCAAAAGAACTATTATTTGACCAAATTCACGAGACAGTCATGAAATCATAGCGAACGTTGCATTTCGTCTCCCATACGGTGATGTTTGTCGCCCAGCTGGAATCGATAAACATTTTGCTGTCTTAGTTCTGTCACGATCATAGCAAACTAAGGAATATCCTTGTTTTAATGGATGTTGTCTGAATTACAGCTGGAGCTCCAGCTGTAATTCACTAAAGGAGAAAGTGTGATATTATGAATGAAATATTTCTTATTATCATGTTATCTTAATTTTCGGCCTTTATGAAATCATGTCATTACAGAATGAAGAATGTTTGTGATATGATGAATTTCTTGGGATTCCTATTTCTCAGAAGGCCTCATTTCCAAAAAGCAGAGACAACAGTTGTTTTCCCGCAGGGTTCCGCGTCGGCGCCGAGTCGCCGTATCGCTCCCAAACCGTCACCGTGAAGATTTACTACATCTTGAGGTCAAGTTTTTCCCTGGAAGGACATAATGTAGTTTTGGCAAATCACACTTGATGCTGTAGCTCTCTCCTCACTTGTTTGATCTCCCTTTAGAGCAACAGCTTCCTTTTTCTGAAGAATGCGTTTTCCGAGCGGTAGGAAATTGTGACGGAAAGCACACGTCTTTCTTTTTTCTTTGCGAGGAAGAAAGAATCTAAGTCTTTATTTTTATTCTCTTTCTTTAGGTTGAGTTTTTTCCCCCTTACAGAGGAGAGAGACCAGGAGGTGCAGTTGTAGCTGAGTTGATTTGATTCACTCATTTCTTTATGATTATGAATCTCTCTTGTTTTTGGTTCCTGATGTTGTTGTGGGAGGATGGTTGTTGATGTGGCAGAGAGTTGGGTTGTGTGAGGTAGCTGCAGCAGCAGCAGCCAGACAGAAGCTGCCTACACAGACGTGCTAATGCTACCCCCCAGTCTTAGTGAAGTTTCTAATTCTTGTCACACTTTTGTAGTGTCTAACTGAAAATGTTGTTCTTTTTGATGGGTCTTCCAAAAGACTTTTGGTTCAGTTTGAATAGAAGTTTTTGCCTTGAAAGTTTGTTTAAATGTTCTCTCCAAAATGTTTGTGCAGCTGCTGGTGTGTCAGCGGTTGTGTGTCCCACGTTGTGTGTTGCCGATTCTGCTACAGTTTGATCCTCGAGGAGACGGCGGCGGCGGCGGCTCATCAACCGGAGCTGGGCATCCCAGCATGTTTTTCTTGTTTCCATGGAACCTGGCAGAGGTGAGATGTTTGAGAGTTCATTTTTATCACCATAGGTGTTTTACGGTCGCAGACGTACTACGTGGACTTTCTCCGACCAACATCGGAGCACGACGGCGGCCACCATCCCGAAGCGATATATGGAACGTGTGTAGTAACGCCCGTGTTTCTTCCGTTACGGGTACGGTTACGAAGAAGCTGGAGTTCCAGGGAAGCCGGTAAGTCTGCTTCTCTCCTTTCTTCCTTTTTTCTCTGCCAAGAAAGTTTCCCTTTCATCTTTTAGTGTTGAGTGATAGTTACGTATTGTTTCTTTGTAGATGTCATGATGAACGTGAAGCATTTGAGTTTGAGCAGGTACTCTGTGAGGTCACCGCTATGAGAAACAGTGAAGAGGGAAATATGTGCAGCAGTTGCGGTGAAGTTCAGGGCTGATGTGAGCTCAGAGACGATCAAGTTTTGGTATTGATGTAGTTTGTCTCTTTTTGGAAGATGCTAATCAATGCGTTTTTGTTCCTTCAGGTGTCTGTCGGTGGAGACATCCCAACATGTCAGTTCTCTGTGGCCTTCAAGGCTCTCAGGGATGTATTGTTACGGCTTCATCACGAAACATCTTGTCATGTGTTTTATGAAATGTAAAGGTTAATATGCACTTGCTTTTCTCCACTCTCATCAAAAGGTGATAAGTTGAAGTGGACCTCCAACGAAGTCAGTCACCCAACAGTGATCCAGTCTAGCGTCTTATGGACTGTTTGCCCTCTGCGTCTGACCGGTGATGAACGTTGTGGTGGATCTGCAGTCAGAGGTTTGGCTGATTTTCCTTCCTGTACCTTTTCATGCATCTGAAAAGGTACAGCTGAAAGCTCTTTGTTTTTGAACAGCTGTGCATGTGTGGAGATCCTGGCGAAAAACTGGATCTCCAGCTGTGAGGAGATGCTGTGGTGGTGACGGAAAGCCAAGAGGTAAAACTCCAGGGCAATTTCAAGTGCATGTTGTTGTGGTGTTGGAAATTATGTTTGATGATTTGTCAATGGAAGTGTCTTTGAAAGGAAAGATTAGTCTATCTATCTGTAGTCCTTAATGTTTGTTGACTAAGTAATTGAAGCAAATCTGTGAATGTTTGAGTATGAAAGTGTTGGTTTTGGAGTTGATGAGCTCAGACTTATGTGTTTTGTTTCTCTCTAGAATTCATAGAGGTTCTCTCAATGTCCTTCCAAGTTATTTATTTCTGTTGTTTTTTCTTCAGGATGTCTGGTGATGCAGCCTTCATGGGTCAATATTCCCCTTAATCCCCTTATTCCCCTTATTCCCCACCGGTTGAAGAGAGGAAAGCAATAGAATTCTATATATACACACTAAGTGTTGAAGGTAGTTTTGAAGGAAGCAAGGAGGAGAGAAGGGAAGGTAAGAAGCAGACAAGGAAGGAGAGGAAAGTTAGAAAGAGTGAAGAAGGAAGTTAAAGTGCAAGACTAGATGAGTAGTTACAATGTGGATCTCAAAGTATTCTACCTAATTCACTTTGAGATCCACATTGTAACTACTCATCTAGTCTTGCACTTTAACTTCCTTCTTCACTCTTTCTAACTTTCCTCTCCTTCCTTGTCTGCTTCTTTCCTTCCCTTCTCTCCTCCTTGCTTCCTTCAAAACTACCTTCAACACTTAGTATATATAGAATTCTATTGCTTTCCTCTCTTCAACCGGTGGGGATAAGAGAACATACCTCAAAGAAGAAGAAGACCACTCCAAACAATCTTTGACCTTTTATTGTGAAGAAAAACGTCGCAGCAAAGCTCCTGGTTGGTCGAGGCTCAGCACGTCAAACTGCACCTGTTTCAATAAAAACACTCTAAACAAATACCTCATAGTCTGTGCTATTCTTTCTTACCTCTTCTCTGCTAAACGTGGGACCTGCAAACACATAATAGTACCTGATTGGTTGACGACTGAGAAGACAGGAGAAGATTCTCGGGAGGGGCCGACGGAACCTTCCTGTTGGATCAAAGAAAACACCGGGAGGCATCACGAAATTCGATACAACTCTTGTTACCTGTTGATGCCAATAAACTTGATTACTGCATTCACTGTGTGGTTTCCTCTGGCGCAGCGCCTCACCTAAGGAAAAAAAAAGCTACTTGCAAATAAAACGTAACGTGTTCAAACTTTATTCAACTCCCTGATGTCATGTAGCCATGGAAGCGATACGCCGCCTGGGCTCTGCTCGCTTCTCGCACCGAGTGCTGAGCGACCTGACAAACTGAAAAGGGAAAACAAATAAATAAATAACACGTAAAATACTGAGCGTGCATTTCTGCACATTGTTCCATTAAACGTTTCCTTACCACGTCCGAGGAACACACTTTCAGCTCGCCGCGCTGTCCCGGTACGTCAAACACCTGCTGGATGACATTCACTGAAATGTTGGACAACAAAAAAAAAAAAGACATCTACAAACACTGACTGAGTCCATGAAACCTCGCGCTGCTCGTCATCGCGCCACTATAGCAGCTCCTTGACTTGACATTAAAATCCTCGCCTTTCTGCTTCTGCTGAGCGATGATGGCCTCGGCACCAAACGCAACCAGGAAACCCCGGCAGCGCTGAGCACCGCAAGCGAAAACCACACACTGGAGGAAAAAACAAGAGGAAAAAAAGACAACATGGAGGAACACACTTTCAGCTCGCCGCGCTGAGGCCCAAAGCTCCACACACTGATCCCAATGTTCGGTTCGCTTCCAATCGTCTCTTCGGGGCCTTCGCCTCCTGAACGTGGAGAGTGGAAGAAAAACACATTACAATTAAACAGCGATAAACTAACGACTAGCTGAAGAACCAAACAACAAACTCCAGCAAAACCCGCAGACATTCCTACCGAATCGGCGGAAGCAGCGGGAGGCTCTGCGCTCATCTGCAGCGTCGAACCTCCCATTCGACTAACTAAGAAAAAACACACAAAGACAAGACAAGAGAAGAGGCCACAGGACGAGCTGCACGGACGTTTCTAAAGCTCCTCCACATGTCGCATCACTCGCTTCAGCGTCTCTGCCTGGAGCCTCTGCAACAACAAAAAAAAGACAACATTAGTTCAACTTTCACTCACCGGACACCAAACAAAGAGCCTGCAGACCCGACCCGACAGGAGCCTCTCTGGACCTGCTGAGGGACTTACCGACCGCACCGGAGCGGAGCCGGACCACGACTGAAGCTCCTCCGGTTCCCTTTTATCCGTTCCCTCACAGCTGATTTCAATTAGCGCCGATGAGCCCATGCGCAACATCTGCAACCTATAATCTTCTTCTTCTACTACTTCTGTGTTTTCATTGGCGGATCATCAATGATCTCACAGGGAACATCGTAAGAATAATAATAATAAGACGTCATTCAATGCTATGGCCTAAATGCTCCTGCACACACATGAAAACCTACTTTCAATATCATTCCATAACCCTGTACTCTTTCAAAATAAAAGTGATTTCATTCAAAGAAAGATTGATTGATTGATTGATTGATTTCCTAATTTATTTCTTTTGGAACATTGCATTTCTTACCTACTTCAAATGAATTTCAATGGTTGGCGCATGTTCCACAAAGAAACCTGTAAAGTCCTGCGTGGCCGATTCTTCTTTCCCTCTTCCGTTTAGACTTTTATTATTTCCCCCTGCCCCCCCCCCCCCCCCCCCCACACACACACACACACACAGACACACACAGACACACACAGACAAACTTTTGGATCTTAGATCATTCTCTACCGCTGTCATGACTAGAAAATTGTTCCTGCAAAAATCAGACGCTTTTTATTCCGAATGATATTTTCTCCTTCACCTTGACTTAAAGGAACAATTACTTTTACAATATGAGATTTTAAACCCTGCTTACCTAATAAATCATCTTCTTCATTTCATTCCCCTGTATTGCTAAAGAAACAATAATACTGAAAAAATCAAAGACAACTTTTCTTATTCGGGAACTAAACTCATTTCTGATATTTAGCTGTAAAGAACCTTCAATTCTCTGCTTTCTTGTTTTTTCCTTTGACCAGATCACACAAAAGTTTGTTACAGAAATAAGAATAGGGACTGATACAAATTAACCACACTTCATTTACTCACAATAACCCTTAGGCAGAAAGAGCAAATTCCTTTTATTGGACAATATCGACCGCTTTAAAATCCTAAACCTATGCTGAACCTGAAAACCTTACAGCTGAGAACCGCTTACTACGATTCAATCCAATCAGACTGCTTGGGCTACAAATACTAAGAAAAGAAACCTAAATGTAACTCCATACACCTATGTGTTCGCAAACACAAACAAACAAAAAACAAAAGAAAGACTCCCTAGTGAATAACACAACAAATACAAACTCCCCTTACACTATAGCTACATTATATAGTTTCTCTCATTTACAAGCGAGCCTGGAGAGCTGCAAAATCCACATCAATCCCCTTCCTTACAGCATCGACAATTGAATCAATAAAGAACCAAAACATACATTCTAAACTAATGCGACACGGAAACCCAATCAAACTCAAACTCAAACGGCAGCACAACAACCTGCACAAAACAGACAATAGAATTACAGAGATAGTTTTAAAAAATACAACGCATTATAAACTGCCTTTACCTTCGTTAAAAGTTCACAGAGCTCTCTCTGCGTGTCCTCTCCAAGAGGAGCTTTCCTGCAACGATACAATGGAGCCGTCACTAATCGCTCTGAACCCGGCGCGTGTTCACCTGGACTCTCACCCTCTCGTGCCCGTTGCCCGTCTCCGTCATCGATCGGTCTCTGCCTCTTATGGGAAAAACAGAAGAGTGCATCGTGGAAAAAATGCCCTGGCAACATACTTCTAATGCTATTAGAAATTCACTTTCTTCCCTAAGATTATCCGTCGCCCGCTGATTCAACTGTAAATGCTGAAAGCAAATCTACAGTTAGAAAGTGACACAGGTTTGGTTATTTTAGCTGTTGACAAAAATATGTTCAGAAATACAATGATGTAAGTGAAAATGCAAAATCCCAGCTGCAATATCACAGTTTCCACGTCCAAATCGGAGAAAGGCTTTAGGAATCGTAGCTCTAGAACGCATAGCCTCCTCTTTTTCTACGAAACAAAAGTCAGTGGAAAATGAACGTAGAAGGCGTCTCCCTTGTTAACCTTGAATCAAGTAAGTAGTTCAAAAGTCTGGGGTTGATTCCAGGTGTGTGATTTTGCATTTGGAAACTGTTGCTGCTGTTGCATGCGGTGAAAGGAGCTCTCCATTGAGGTGACGCACAACATCCTCAGGCTGGAAAAAAATAAAAATAAAAACAATCCATCAGAGAGATCTCAGAAATGCTTGGAGTAGCTAAATCAACAGTCGGGTACATTCTGACCTTGGGAACTCAAAAAGGCCTGGGCGTCCACGGAAGACAACGGTGGTGGATGATCGCCGCGTACTTTCTTTGGTGAACAAGAACCCGTTCGCAACATCGACTGAGGTCCAAATTGTTTTGCAAAGAAGAATGGTCAAAAATACCTTCGTCGAGGATCCAGGAACTCAGAAGCTACCGGAAGCGACTAGAGGCTTTGTTGGAAAAGGAGGATCTACGAAATATTAATGTTGCTTTTCTGTTGAGGTGCCCATATTTTTGCACCTGTCCAATTTTGTGCTTATGTGTACTGAACATTTTCTTTTAGTCCAATAAACCTCATTTCAATATTGAAACGTTACTTTGTCCAAAAGTTATTGGTTATATCAAACTGAAATAGTTCCAAATATTTAGAGATGAAAATCATTTAGATTAATAGGGGTGCCCAAACTTCTTCATATGAGACAGAAAAATGCAACTGTGGACATGTGTGGTTCCAAATAATTACAAATCAAGTTTAAAAACACACAAAAAGCCATACAAGTACTAACGCAACAAGATACAAACAGTTCACTAGCACTGGTCCATCTGAGCTTAGTTAACAAACCATCATTAAAAGCCACCTTCAATCTTTGAAGAGTGTTTTATTTTTTTATTTTTTTTTTACATTGCAACACAAATGTGCTGTATACAATGATCTACGATATGATCCGAGCGAAACTTACGGACCGGGATATTTGACTGAGCGTGTAGCGTTCGAACCTGTCGGGAAATGTCCGCGTCGTCAGAGAAAGCGCCGGTCGACACATGAGCGAGAGATTTGACTTCATTGAGTCCCAGACAGCTTGAAATTTGAACATTTGCTACATTTGTCCTCCTCGGTGCGAAAGATCGAGATGATGCTTTAACGTCATGTACTTCACCATATGCTGAACAGACTTTAAGCAGCTTCTGCAGAGCAGCTGAGCTTGGAATCAACATCACACATTAAACCATTCGTAATGGTGTCGCCAACCGTGCAGCGAGTTCAACACAGGTTGAGCTGCTTAGAGACATCATTCATATAAAAGTTAAATAACATGGGTGATAAAATGCTACCTTCTCTGACTCCATTGCTGACCATAAAGGATGGAGAGCTGCAATTGGCGCATTTCACCTGCATAGCTTGATTGGGATATGTCAGACATCTTACTATATATTTGCCCACACCAGCTTGGCACAATTTCAAAGATAATTTTCTATGACTTACACAATCAAAAGCCTTCGTGGCGTCTACAAAACACAAAAACGCTGTAGGGTTTTTGCTACAGGTATCATTATTCAGTTATTCTTTTAGGCCATATATCAGTGCCATGTTTGGACTTCAACCCAAATTGATTATCAGTAGACATAACTATCTTTTCCAATTTAGGCTAAAGAATTAGTTCAAAGACTAATTCTACTAGCAATGGCTAGAGGTCTATAGTTATCAGAGCTGCAAATTCGACCAGCTTTGTTTTGAATCGCAGGAAGTAGAAAAACATTCCTCAAAGAATCAGGAATACAGCCACGCATAATAAGCAAGAAGAGGGGCTACATTGCAGATGTTCAGCTGAAATAAGATCCTTTCCTATGGATATCTTTACAGAAAGATCTTTCATTGCTTGATAAACCTCCAGAGTTTTGATCGTTTCTACGGTACTGACTCTGTCGACTCGGAAGGGTTCGCTCTGTACACTGGATACATTGATATGTACCAAAGCAGCACGAGCATCTGCTGTAGTATGCCAGCCTTCGCTGATAAACGTCTAGCTAGCAGCTGGCAATTAGATTAGAATCTGGACTAAAATGAATGAGATGTTTACCAAGCAGGGATTCATGTCACCCATAACATAAATACTTTTACACTTCTCAATTTGCATCAAAGAGCTTCTTCTTCATTATGATGACATTCATAAAACAATACATCGAATGAATGAATCGTAATGAATCATAAATGTTGGGCTTTTTGGCCTTTCCTTTAAACACATTCCACATACTGTCTCCGGGTTCATTTTTCATTCAATATTAAACCTGAAAATCTCACTCGATTTACTTGTTGAAGCTTCGGATTATAAACACTTCAATCAACTTCCTTATATCTTCCATTAAAAAATAAAGACTTTTCTACTGACATCCTAAATCCCCACCTACTTGCCCACCTTTCTACTTTCAAAATGGCCTCCTGCATCTTTTTCTGTAAATAAATAAGATCGTAAATAATCAGCAAATCAAGATTTTCCTAGAGTTACATTTATTGCAAAAAACATATAATTTATCATAATATTCCAGAGAATTGAACTACACGCGCTACCATGTGAGGTACCGTTCTCCACACGATATCTAGAGGCACAAATAGTCCCGACCTAAACTTCGCTTTCTCTACCGTACAAAACATATCAATCCCAATTATAAATCCGATACCCACATTTTCTCATTGAGTTCATAATCCATCTTTCCACAGCATAGCATATGTCTTTTTGATATCAACAAACACTGCTATGACCGTTTCTTTATATGTTCCAGCTTTCCTCATTTCTGACTCCGGCCACGGTGAGGCGTCCTTCCGGCTTTTTCCTTTACAAAAACCGCTCTGATATGAAAACAATCGATTCTTGATTTCATTACAATATGCAGGTCTATTGCACAACCGTCAAGAACACAAATAAAGAAATATCATTCAAGAAACTCTTCGATAAGAAAACTGTTTCAATTTGTATTTAAACTGCCCCATAAACTATGATGTGACTTAAAATAAACATAGTCTTTCCTTTATTCTAATCATACGTTTGATAAACATCTGGAATGGTAAACTTCTGGTGAAAATTGTACACATTAACAAAACTTGTCTATTCTTTCTCTCGTTCCTAATTGTTGAATACATTACATTGAATTACAACATCTAATTGGGGTTTAAGCAAAGTCTCCTGAATACAAATCACACGAGGTTCAACTATCAAATCAAAACACACTTTTGTGCCGCCTTGAAAATTGTTTAATTTTTTCCTTTTTTCTTTCGCTTTGAGCGGTACCATTTCTAACCTCCGCTAGGAATCAAAGACAATCCTCTTTCCTCGTTAGTGATGTGTGATCTTTACTCTTATCTAAACTTTTCCAATTTCCTTCTTCTGATGCATCATTGCTTAAACAGGCACTTTTTGAAACGCTTCT